TGAAATTTTATCAAGAGCTTCATTAACATCAAATTTATTTTTTAGAATATTAAATGTACTATAGGTTCCGTGTGCTTCTGTTTGACATAATACTTTTCTTGGATATTTAGAAGTAAATAAAAAATGATTATATTTTAAAATTCTGGGTAGTTCTTTAAAATGTGGTTTTAAAAATTTAGAAAAATCGTAATAAGCCCATCCTTCACTATTATTGTAGCATATTCCTTTGTTAGCACCATTTTTTGTTGACTTATCAATTACTTTTTGAACATTATCTACTGTGTTAATAATTGTTTTTCGAAAAAGTGTTTTAATATTACCAAAGTATCCATCGCATATAAATTTTGTATGTCCGGTTACCATAAAATTTACCTCAATCATATCGTACATTCCAACTAACATAAGCCAGCACCAAAAGTATAATGAGAGATTATTTTTATTCTGTGCTGAGCAATTATCACAGGTTACTTTTAAATGTTTTTCGTGATTATAAAATCGTTGCAATCCATTATAAACAAGACTAATTGTCGTATTTGCTCCTTTACCTGTTCCTTGGAGAAATTCGGTTTCAGCAATTACATAATTTAATTGTTGAGATGGATTTTGCCCAGTATTACAAATACCAAAAATATGAGCCTGAAGCGCTGATTTAAAATATGTTGTACCAATTTGTTGAGGAGAATAAGGCACGGGAACATTTTGTGCCCAATCATAATATACATGTGCTGTATCAGGTAATATTGTACTTGTTAAAATGTTGTTACAATAATATTCCTGTTCTATTTCTGCTTTTTGTTTATGGCCATCTAACCTTTTTTGAATTAATTTTTTTTTTCATCATAATTTGTACTTCGAATTTCAGCCTTTAACATTTTACATGTTTCACATAAATCTGTACCAGGTGTTATAAATTTTATATGCGGTAATAACTCTTTCCAAATACGAACAAAACTTTTATAGCTAATTTTATCGAATAGTTTTTCAGGAAAAATATTAAGACATTCGATAAAATCAGTATATACTTTAGTATAGTCTTTCTCAGTTGGTAAGTAAATTATTGTTTGTATATCATTTTGTAAATGTCGACCTGGAGAAGGATATCTGTGAATATTAGCATAATTACTAATAAATATTGAAACTAAAGTTGATACAGTTTGATCAATTTTTGTACGATTTTTTAGAATAGGAATTCGTTTTGTATTGCCATGTAGTCGTTCAACTAATCCTTTAGTTATCAAATTCTTTTTAACTTGGGCAAGATAATCACTTCCAACTCCAATTAACTTGAGATATGTATTTTTACAAAGTTTAATATCATTATTAAATTGATAATTAAAATTATGTTTTTCATTTGCTTAATTATATTCAAACGCCATAAGCTGACCCATCAAAACTAAATCCAATTCTTTTTTATCTAAACTACGAAATTGCATATGTCATTCAAAAAATTGTTTAAATCCAACTTTGTCATAACATTGATAGGTTTTTCTCATTCGGCATTCGCAATTTTTTGATTGAAAAAATTTCCATAAATCTTGGACAACTTCTTGTACTAACTCATTGTCTTCATAATCGTTTAAATCTAATTCTTCTAAAGAAAGATGTGATGAAAAAAAATTTATTTTCTTTATTTTTGTTTAATGACATTGTTGTAAATAAAAATCTTATTACTAAAGACAAGGTTAATGAACGATAAACATGTGATCAAATTATAATAAAATTTGTATCACATGATTGGGCGTCTAAAAATAAATCAAAAATTCAAAAATTCAGGGAAAAAAACAACAAAATTTTAGGTAACACAAACATTCAATCACTGTTTTCTCAAAATAGAAACTACCCTTCGTAGGGGGGTTTTCCTAGTCCATGACCCATATCTTCAGCCAATGATGCAGTAAATCGTTCAAGAAGTGATCCACGTGCTTTGAACGTTTCCATAAACGTTGGACAATTTGAATCATAGCTTTGAAATATAAATGTAATCATCTTTACGTCTATTGCCGAAATGGTAAAAGGGCATGCACTAGTCTTGTTTGCGGAACAATTGGCAAGCATCTTGATGGGTTTGTTAGTTTT